AAAACCTGCTGTTATTTATAGTGTTGATGGACTTCTTACATTGACTTTATATTGAGATTTAATCGTGAATTATACTGAATATCTAACTTTAAAAATGAAATTTTGTGAATGATGCTGCAATAACTTCCCTCATATTCTATACATCGGTCAAACTCAACATATTGGCAAGAGGCGCAGAACTACCATAAGCGCGTTTGCCTGCATAAATGCCTGCCTGGAAAAAGGCGGCAAGGTCTTTGGGATTTTGCTACGCACCGTAGACGTGACATTGCTCAACTGAGCGCGCAAAGTTGATAAATCAGTGAAGCATAACCCAATAGTTACAATAACCTGTACCATAATCTCGAAATTTTGCAGACACATTTTAACAGATCAAATTACTTTTACTTGAATCCGCCAATTTAGGCTCCAAACGCTTATCCGAGAACTTTTTCTGGCTCAAATCTAGAACACGTGAGCTTATTCTTCACAGCTTCAATCCTGATTCAAAATATCGGTTTGATTCTTACTTGTAATAAAATTATCAAGTTACCACCCGTAGTTGCCTTTCTGAAGAGATCGTTGATCATTCCTCCAATACGTGAAGTGCCTTTCAAGCGCAGAACCAGAATTGAGATGAATTTGTGAGTTGAACAACTTGTCCTTACCTCGAGTGTAGAAATCCCCAAATCAATTCGGCGTAAAGTTTGCTTACGAAAAAGAATTCAAATTAGACCTCTTCACTTGAAATTAGGGCAAGCTAGCACGGTATAAACAAATGGCGACTGCTGGTCCTTGTAATCGAATCCCAAGACGTATCACTTTGAAAAAGGTATACATAACAAGCCTTGAACGGAGTTGGATGGATTGGCATCGGCAATAGCTAAACTTGGAGCTGCCGCCTCCACTTCTACTAAGTAATCCACACTCTCCAAAGCGACCTCTTTATCTCTCAGAACTACGTCAGATTCTTGCTGAGAGATGGTTTCAAACTTTGTTCACGTCACTGCGATTGTCTAATAAGATCTGGCTTTAAAGTATTTCTTATTGGTCAGCGCGAAATCCTCCTCCAGCACGAGATCGTCAAGCTCACAAGGTTCTCTTTAAATTTCCAAGAAGCAGCCAAACTCACCTCGACGATCGGAACTCACCCAAAGTAAGAATTCAATCATGTGTGCACTTGGGTGCAAGTTGAACCTGAAATTGTGAAAATCGCTTTGCAAAGGAATGAGGCGAAAAACTGTAAAATTCACAAGATTCCTTTTTTCGAGTGCTTTACAGAAGACTGCATAGGGATACCATATGAGATAAATAAAGCAAATCTACTCTATATTGTCAACCGAAAATTTCAAATTTGGTTTATCTTAGAGTCTCATGAATCCTGAAAAGCGGAAATATAACGTTAGACATATTAGCAAAGAGAATAACGGAAAGAAAAAACGATTAAGCTTAGCAGAAAGTACCGAACGCGTGCAACGGCCTCAACTACTAGTCCAATCATTCATTCAACAGTTTACTGAGAATCAACAATCCTGATTTGAAAGGAGAATTACTGAAACCTTTCAGTAAACAAAAATCAAACGAACTCGGGCTGCCGCAGGAAAAAAAAGTCAGGCTTCGTGGAGTTCAAAATAGACAGAAAAAAGACGAACAAAATATAGAAGAGAGAATGAAACATTCTCGGCGGCAGGAAGATAGATCAGAGAGAAAAGCACCTGAGATTAGGATATAAATAACAGAATAAATTAAGAGGAGAACTATAGAATTCAATACAAATCACAAACATGACACTCTGAAAACAGGATTTTGTGCGATCCAACAAGTTCTTAATGTGAAGAAGTCGTTAGTTTCTTACGGCTCAATGGAAGAAAGACCTAAAAGTAACCTTTGAATAGGCATGCCGAGAGTGCAGAACTTGCCAAAGTTACCAGATCCAATCATAGAAGCCTGGCATTAAACTCGGGATGAAGTGGTTGATTCTTTGAGGCTGGATACCAGACGAAACATCATGAAGTTCTTGAATCTCCTCTTCCGAAGCAAGTGGGTCTACCTTCTTCTTCTTCTTACTCATTTCTTGGCTCGCTTCGTCATAGGCGGATAACACTTCATCGACGGTGCGGCGGCGAGCTCTAAGGTCAAAAGCGAGCTGACAGAGTCTAAATAGAACAACATCTAGTGGATTTAAGAGTGTCAAATAGGTTCCTTTTTGCGTCTATTTCTCGCAAAGTTGCTTTTTTGGATGATTTTTCTTACAAAGATTTGAATATGACTAGGTGCTCCAAGAAACTCTCGAAGCGAATTAGAGACTTCAGCACCCTATCAAGAACTTTTATTTAGACCCTTTGCTACTAGATGAGCATCAA